CCCTGTTAAAATAATACCCTCCGCCACTGAAACTTCGAAGGATCAAGCCCACTCAGAATGAAAAATAATAAAAACACAGAAGAATGACATGATAAAAATTATTTCATATTTGGTAACTGAATTCTATCCGAAAATTCTGAGCGAATTGTGCATGAGTTACACTATAATTTCATGAAGACTCGTCGTTAATGAGATTCACTGTTTTTACATTAGAGTGTATTCGGCTTTGGCATGATACGCAATCATGCAGTTATGGCGTACGAGGAAGATATTTAATTGACTTCAACTGTTTGTAGAATGCACAGTAATACGATTCACATGAGACTATATTTATTCAAAAATCTGGAAAATGTATTCATTATTTATGCATTGTTACGCCTTTAAACATAACGAAAATCTTCTTTTATTGGTTTCCGAAGAGTAACTAAGGTAGCGCCTCTAGTCCTTGGTCTTGGTACAGACTGAGTTCTATCAGTCAATATCGTAGTGTGATCCACCAATCTAGGTGACTTCCCATAGTGCTGCTCTCCAAAATTGATGTCAGATGGTTACAAGCTATAGGCAGTTCTACAGGGGGTGTAACCACGACACCGAACAGTTCAGTGGTAACGATTCTGATTACATCTCTGGATGACTCGGTTTCGAGCTACAGAGAGAATATTAATTCCTTCAAGGAATGCAAATGTGCCCTGTTGATGAATGCTTACAGGCGTAAAACTTAGGTTCAAAGCTAGCAGCCGATCACCTCCAACAATTTTATAGCTAGGATGTATCACTGATGTGCACAATACGTATACTATCGTTTCTCCTATTTCGTACACCTGTAGAATTTGTAAACACGGACCAATGTAGCCACCAATGAACTCGTTGCTTACGACATATTGAGCATTTCTCACATATATCACCATTTCTTTATTGAGTGTAGATTTCCTTTGAGAGTTCCATAAATAAAACGATCATTTGGCTTCGTAGATGAAGCATTTGAGTTATGCGTAAACTCCAGGACATATGATTCGTCTGAGATAATGATCAATGGACCATGAGGCGACCAGGCTTATTTCCTTCGTAAGCACTTTCAAAAACAGGCATGAAGGAGGGAAGAGATCCTTTATAGAATCCAAGAGAATATAGAATATAATAGCTACACACAATAAGTGCAGTTTAATATGGACTGAAAACTACTAAGGACGATTGCAAATGCGGACTATTGATACTATGTTCGGAGAAAAAATTATACTACTGTTTGTTAGCAGGTAGTATAAATCTGAATACATTAATATTAGGGTGGTGGTTAGCTAAAGAAGGAACTCAGCTCATTCAAAACCAGAATACTGTTTCCAAGTTTCCTTCCAGTACTGGTGCAGGCAAGCTACAAATTACTCTTGACATATCTACATCCATTGGTGCACAAATACTTTGGATCTTATTAGCCAGTCTGATAATTGACAGTGTATATTTTAAAGCTAATAATTGCGTTGAAAATGTGACTTAACACAATCGTCAAAACAGTCAATCAGTGTTAGCCACTTGATTTTATCTTTAAATCTAGTACTTTTAGAATGTCCTCAAGCAGCTTCATTGATACCACAGTCGCTTTTAGTTCCAGATTCAGTAGTTTAAAATATCTCAAAAGAGTAACTTTACAGCTGTTTGTAGCAGGACCATAACTTATCGAGGAATGAACTTATAATCTAAATGGAGTACGTATCTGTATCCCATTTTTGACTAATCCACAAACAAACTTAAAAGACCTTCTGTAATGGTGATCACCATTAGTTTGCATAGCTGAATGAAATATAGCGAAAACCTGGTACAGATAGAAATGGCTATCTAAAATTTCCTATGCCTTGATGAAGAACCTAGTGTGGTTGTTGTCCAATACTGAACAACAGAACACCGGCATATTTACATTTGACTGCAAGCAAAGAAAAACCTATCCAGTATAGCCATTTCAGAAGTCACCCATCCATTGAAGATCTTGTCTTCTTTGACTGCAGTCCATCTACTTTGCAGATATTCTTAATATTTATCTTGTGATCTACATTCGGTTATTTTGTTTCGAATTCATAGATGTCCCTCCTGAAAATGAGTACATTTCACATCTGATCTAGTTTTGTAAGCTTTATGGAGTGTGAGTAGGGTGACATCTGAAACGTTGTTTAGTAGCGTATGTGTAACTGAGATCCCTTCAGGATGTAAGAGCGGGATTGTTGAACATTCCACCCAATAGTAAATTCTTAGTTTCACTCTCGCGCAGTCTGACTTGTTTTGTGGCTAACCTAGAAAACACTTCCCTGTAATCAACTACGGAAAGGGTCCGTCTCTGCACAGGTTACACTGATGATACTTCCATAATCTGTGGTGAGAATTATTATATTAGATACCTACTCCAAACGTTTAATGATCCTCACTCAAACGTTGACTTCACACTCAGTGTTTCATTTTCTCAGTGTTCAACTGTGAAGGAATGCTGAAAACTCGCTGAGAAGATCCATCTACAAAAAGCTCACGTGGAACAGAAAGTCTATTGACTTTCAAAATTGTGTGCTTCTAAGCAGAAAACGAAATATCATATACTCGCTTTTCCCGAGGATCCGCAGAATATGCACTTAGGATCCAATCAACGAAGAATTGGGAAATCTCCAAAGGTCTTTCATAGAAAATGGATTTCTGCCCAGATTCATAGACAAGAATCTAAAACCAAAGGAGACGTGTGTATAGGTCCAACTCGTCCCCAGAAAGATGTTGATGCTTAATCTCGAATTTAAAAGTGATACCGAAGCAGAAATTCTCTGTATACGGCTTTCGAAATCCTCATTAAAAACACACTACGAGTAACATTGTCCTACAAGAAACCATCCAACCAGCGCATGAAAGACAAGCTACCGCAGTGGACCACTTCAGCAAGCATATATCAGTTCACTCGGAACTTGTGTGGATCCGAGTATATTGGTCGTACCATGCGTCCGCTTGTAGAATGCACTGGGAAACACTATCCATCATGGTTAGCAAAGGGATAAGGCAAAGATGTATACAGTTCGGTAACAGAACATCTGGTGAATTCCAGTAGAATTCAGCTTCATTTGAAAAGTCCTTCAACGTCATACACAAAATCCAATCAAACCTATCGAAGAAAGTGAAATCAAGGCATCTAGGAATAACTGAGGCACTAGCGATCCAAAAATTCAAGCCCATTCTCTGTGTTCAGAAGAAATATCTCCAACAATTATCCCTACCATGGCCATCATGGAAAGTCAGTCCTACCAATAATGATCATCCAATTAGCTTTCATGTCCAGCCTCCCAGTTTATTTCTGTTGCTTTTTTGTTTCTGATTCCTGTCCGCATTACTGGATTGATTTGCTGTTTTTTTTGTCATTACTACGTCCCTAATCCGCAATTTGTAGAAACAGTCAAGTTTTTGAGTAATTATGATCTTATTATGTCTTTTCTACTCGACCTTCCTGATGGCTACACTTTGTAATTTAATTAATTTAATTTGACCTTTAACCTAAAATAACTCGGGAGCTTTCTCAACCATTTACCACAGATACGCGAATGTAGAGTGTGTTTGATGACTTCGTGGAATAGAAAACTTTTCTTCGCTATAACCATCTTTTTAATAACATAACACAATAATCAGATGGATGTTCGTGGGCATATTCCAGTGTCAAAGTGTGTTACGTATGTCTAGTCATTGCCATCCTCTACGGGCAATGTTAGCTGACATAGGGTCAGGCTGGAATAGAGCTAGCGGCGGTCAAACCAAAGCATTGCACCGGTCAGTTAGATTAAGTCACGTAGGAAGGTGTAGACTTCCTGACTGGTTAGAGTCCTCGGGACTATAAACACCAATGGAGGCTGGAGAAAATTGGTGATACGGCCCAAAATCGTTGTTCTCAATGGCTGGCCGGTGCAGAGGTATCCACTCATTGTGACCTATGATTTCCAATGAAACTACATTGTTCTTTGTTACTTCTATTTCTTTGTCTCACATCTCTGTTTACTGTCTCTATTATGCATTTCTTCTACCTTCTTCTCTTGGTCTGTGTGCTACAAGGAGTGGAGTGTGGCGACTTGAACTGCCGCCAAGTTCTATGTCGAAAATAGACAGACAGACAGACAGTGTCAAAGTCAGAGATATTACCCTTTGCGTTATCGAATATTTTAAAGTAGAAGACTTTGGCGCCTCTAATGAAGCAAGTTGGAGTCCTGAAGGGAAAACAAAAGTTGACCCACAAAGTTACAAATGTAAGGTGCTAGTAAGTGCTAATAACAGACATAAAAATAAATGGACCATTATAATAACTTCGTTTTCACATTGTATCACTGGGAATCATAACCTTGGAGCTTTCTCACCTATTTCCCATAGATACACAAATGTCGTGCCTAGTTGATAACTTCATCGAAAAGAAGACTTTCTTCACTGCAACCGCCTTTTGAACTTAACTTTTCAATAAAAACAGAAAATCTGCTAGAAAACCATCATATTTACATACTATTGGGTAAGTATATAAGCTATTGACCATACAAACCAACCTCCCTTTTATTCTCGCCTACTTGAACGGATACTACATAGGCAGTCAGTCAATTAAGATTTGAATTTTCTCAGCAGGTTGTTCTCATGTGACTTTGCACTGTATGTTTTACAGAAAATGCTGTGAACATCAATCATATCAGGTGTTACGTTTGTCTTAAGGGTGTGTTTTTTTCTTTTCAATTTTTTCACACAGTTGGAATATCTGCTCTGGTGTTAGCGCTATACTAGATGCATAAAAAAAAACATCATACTGTTAAATTTTAACTTCCCGCATACTGTTCAAAGGTCAGATGACATGATATACGCAGTCATCAAGCTGAACAAAGGCAATCAGTATTTAAATTACACTACAAGTAAAATAATATCTTTTTTTTTGAGTTCATTGAACTGAAATCAAAGTTCTATGTACAGAGTGAATTTAGATTTTATTGATTTATAATTTGAAACACTCCTATTGAATACAACATTAACATACCTTCGACTATTTATTTAACTTGTATTTGAACAGGGTTGATTATTAACGCTACAAGCATACGCTCATATATATTAGTGAATAGTTCAAGTATTCAAGCGGATTTCGCCACCAGTTGTGAAGTATGCAGAATGAGAAAATCCCTGTGCAACAAAGTCGTCAGTCTGATGATTCCAAAACACTGTCATATACAAAAATGGTGAGTTTTGTTTTATTAATTGTCTCTTATACATCCTATTTAGGTTATATTATTGGTGGGAGTCCAAATATTGCTGAGTATAGTAATCACACTGACCTTGTCAGCAATGTATGTCACATAACATCATAAATCCAATTATTATTATATACATTCGCTCATAGATCACCACACATAACTAATATGCTAAACTGTATGACAGTGTTCACAATTCTATTCGCGTAAGTCTGGTAATTTATTAAACGTGAATTTTAAAACAAGTCTTTAATATAACCATGGAAACGTGTGACACTATCCAGTATGCTTATTCATAATTTGTTGTGTAGTATTCTTGAATCAGGCGTTATTTAAATTTAATTCTACTTAGTTTTTAAGATTCTGGATTAATGGTAACACTTTGATGATTGAATTTTCCATGGTAACGGATTAACGAATCAAATTCAAACAGATTGTGTTATTATTATCACTATAATCTTGAGCTCCCAGTCGAATACATGGCTTCGACAACATATATGCTAACATTTATGCTATCATTTTAAGGCGGCGTCACGGGGTCACCACTTTGTTCCCCATATTTATTGGATGATAGGCTTATGGTTGGTACACCACAATTTGCAGAGTTCCTTCTTGTCTATCATTTTTGACTGGCCTTCTGATCTTCAGTGTGGAGCGAGGCCGGATGTTGATGATAGTCTGCTACAAGCTGTTGAATTTGCTTTTGTTGAAGTCTGAACCAAGTCTCTGAACCGTGGAGAAGTGCTGAATAGGCTGACATGAGTGTTGAAAATCCGATTCTCCGTCCTTGTATCGAGTGCAGCTGATTTCGAGACTGATCTCAGAATAACGGAGGTTGCCTGTGACATCCTCATCCGTGACTCTCTGTGTGGCTGGAAGTATATTGGTGAAATAAGTGAGAGAATTGGTCTTACTCAGATTTATTCCATTGATGGTGCTTATTGTTGTTGTTGTTGTGTTGGTTCGTTATCTGTATTACAACATTCTCTACTGTACTCCCTTGAATTCCCACCTTGGCCTCCTATCTCTACTACCAACTTCCTGGTTTTCGCCTGTAGATATTCTTAGACATAAATCATCTGCGAAGGTCAGAGCATTCAATGTCTTTCTAAAGTGGCATCACATTCATCCATTAGATTTTTTTCTTCTCACACGGTTTCCTCATCTCATTAGCCAATCTACCTCAATCTACTTCGAGAAAGTTGTTCAGCGAAACTTTGCTGATTAAGATGTTACTGAAGTGCGTCGCTGACTATCTATTCTGTTCATAAGGTCCTCAGTATGCATTGAAGGCAGTTGTTGTCAAAAGGTTTTGCTACATAGTGTTGGAAATACCTTCAATGAGGTCTTTCACCTACATAAAAGCATTAGTTGACTTAAGATTAGCAGTGCTGAGCGCAGCATATTTCCTGACTGATTTTAGAGTTATGAAAATTTTTCTTGCTTTCCTAACCCTAGTTTTCCAATCCTCATCCACACCACCTGTAGTTGAAACGATACCGCCTAGGTAAGTGAAAGACCACCCTTAGGTGTCTTCTATTTATAGTAACTGTTAATTGTTGCTGTTTTACAAATGCCTGCTTCTCACTCGGCGCCCAAATATTTTAGAACTATTCTGTCAAATCTTGACGACAGTTCATTTGAAGTAAACTTCTATGGAATACATCCAACAGTCTTTGATTTCCCCCTACATATGATTTTCATGACAGTTCATAAATGCAAAGTAAGGTGATGTAATCTTTTATACACAAACGCAGTTAAACACTCAGAACTTACCTAACATTGTTTGTTTGTTGTAATCATTATTTTTCAGGGTGATAGCTGATATGTCAGCAGTACTACTTCTTGCTATCCCGAAAATTAGACATCTCTTCCCACTCAACATCATCATTCTCTTTGTATACGTAAGAATTTGTATATAATTTATATTAAGTTTTCATTTATAAATTTAACATTTTTTTGAATAAGGCATTAAGAAGATAAATTTCGCGAGATGATATCGTCATTTCGTAGTTTCTTTACAACCACTTTACAACTAACATGGTTAACAATGATAAAATAAAGATCATGACAATTACTCAGTTAAATAAATTACAAAGGTAAATACTAATGACCAATCACATTTAGATAGGTCATGTAGTCTAGGGTAGGCGACGATTGAAGTCTATTGAATTTGAGATGTTCCCGTCGATTGAGTGGCCCGAAGTACTTGGTCTCAGGTTGACATGCCGGCTTCTTGTGCAGATGCTTCGATGATGTCTGGGCATTTAGTCAGTATTGAGTTAGTGAATGGTGACTAGCAGTGGAATCCAGGATGCACATTTCGTCCTATTTGGGACTCGTCACTGGATGTACCTGCATTTCTCAGTGAGTGATGATGTTCCCACCGAGGCTCGAACCCAGTACCCATAGTTGTAAACCCCAAAGCGTTATCCAGATTGAGGTCTATTGTTTTTTGTGCACACAGTTTAAACTGTATGTGATTAATCCAAAGTGCTTCCACCACCTTCAATAACCTTGAATTAGAGTTTTATGATGAAATAATTGTGAAACAGTCATTAATATTGATTTTGTGACCTGACCTTAATAAGTGTTTTGCAATGGATGATGCTGGATTTCTATTAAGATTAATCGAGTTGGGATTTTCTATATGATTTAGTAGCCATTTTGGAACATGTTCTTTTCGACGACATTGGAACATTCTGTTAGTTCTACCTTTATAGGTGTCACCGCAGCTGCAAGTGAACTTGTAGATACAGTTTGAAGTAGAGTCCACAGAATTTTGTCCTTTAATCGTAGATACAGGGATAGAAAATGTTCAGCATGTCAGGGAAAGAGATTCAGCGTAAAATGTAGGTTTGATGGCTGATCGAAGTCTTTGAGCTGTCTTGGAACTGCATAATCTGGTCCCTCTTGAATAGTAGGTTAATAAAGATAGCTTTATTAAGTACAGAAGCTGTCTTTTCGAGATGTGGTTTTTCTTTACTGTGACAAGTGATAAATGTCTCCGGATAACCATTAGCTAATAAAACTGAATGTCAGGTCACATAATCAATATAAATGACTGTTTCACAATTATTTCATCACATCACTCCGATTCAAGGTTATTGAAGGTGGTGGAAGCACTTTGGATTAATCACACACAGCCTAAACTGTGTGTACAAAAAAAATAGACTTCAATCTTCGCCTACCCTAGACTACATGACCTATCTAAATGTGATTGGTCATTAGTATTTACTTTTGTAATTTATTTAACTGAGTAATTGTCATGATCTTTATTTTATCATTGTTAACCATGTTAGTTGTAAAGTGGTTGTAAAGAAACTACGAAATGATGATATCATCTCGCGAAATTTATCTTCTTAATGCCTTATTCAAATCTGACATTTTTGTTTGAAAATTTTCAATGAATTTTCAATCGATTATACGAGACCTAAATGTTTAGTCTCTCTTGGCAATTTCTAAGGATTAGCGTAAAGTTATTTGGTAGATGGTGATCAACAGTGAAATCCAGGATGTGCATTTCATCCTACTGGAGACTCTTCAACCTGATTTACCTGCAATCTTCAGCGGAATCATCTTCAATCAAGTGGGAGACCCAGCTGAAGATTTCTGGTCTGGAGGAAATAAGCATTCTGGACTCCACTGATAGTCACCATCTACTAAAAATTTCATTTATTCACAATCCTTCTTCGTGTAAGTTTATAGATCAAGAAGCTGTCTGCCTATAAGTGGAACAATTAAATTTAAAATATACATTGTGCGGTGCTCAGCTTTAAATGATTTCAAAATACCAATCTCTCTTTATTCACAGCTTATGTCTTTTCAGTATCAACTTATACCTTCCTCACGTTAGTTCAACTTTACTAGACGCACGTCACATTCAATAAATTCATCACCTAGGCACCTTATAATCTCATTAGATGAACAGAATATATTCTTCCAAACCCTATGTGATGGTTTTATGTTGCGAAATCGGTGTGAGTGAACTTCGACTCGCCTGAGCATTTATAGTTGTTGAACCTATATATTATGTACTCGTTGCCAAATTATTGTTATGTACTGGTCGAGAATTTAATAGTCCTGACGCAAGAAAGACGGAAATCAGAAGACCACTAGGTTTGCGATGATACTTCTATTTTCCAAACACAAGGAGAATCAATGTGTCCCACAAGAGTGTGAGAGCAAAAATATATGAATGTCTGAAAAAGTGTGTGAACACAAGTGTGTGAGCGAATATTCAAAATGAACAAATCAATAGACAGTCTTAACATGATTGGCTAATTATAATGGAATATCGATCCATATATACATAGCAAAATATATCAGATTGTCAAACAAACACACAATTTATATGGATACATGTCACCAAGATCAGGCTGTCAAACAAACACACATATTATATGGAAATATATATCACTATATCTTTAAATATTCCCATTTTTAATATTAGAACATGACATATAAGCCAACAATACTGTTGCTTTCAATTAGATCTTCTTCAGGCTTTACTCTAATTTACATTGATTTATATATAAATATTTTCAACCAATGACGGTGATTTTGTGGATCAAATAATAATAATATGGTGAATGTTTTGAACGTAGTTAATAACGATGATTATAATGATAACAAAATATTGATAATAAAGTTTATGCAGGTGATAAGAATAACAAAGGTAGTATATGTATATATGTGTATATGTAGATAGTTCAATAAATAAATAAATTAGGTCAAATCTTAAAAGGTGAAGTGGACATATAATCAGAGTTTAAATAAATATCATAAAAGTAAGAAAGAGATGGATTATAAGAAAGGGTGGGAGGGTTTTGAATAGAATTCACCTAGGCTAGCAAGGGAGAGACAGAGGTAGAACAAACTTCTTTTGTACACAAAGACAAGGATTGTTCTCTCGAATTAATTCCCACAGTTTCGGCTAAGTGTAAAAGACGGGTTCTGATTACGTTCGAAAGACTCGATAGTATGCGATAGATAATTTGAAGGCACTATTTTTGTCCACTTGGTGACCGCTATCAATCAAAATGAGCCAAAATAGAACTTCGTATGGATTTTATTTGACCTTTTCCGAACCATGAAGGAAGATGCTCATTGATGAGTTTAGAGTATTTTTGAACAGTTTCAGTTTTTGAATTAGTCTAACAGTCTACATAAATTAACTGGGATGATCTGTCCCTACGTATGCAGGTTTCCATCACAATATTTAACATAACATAACATAACATAAGCTTTATTCCAAATCAGTACTTGTGATACAGAATGGAATTCTCAGCATTTTACTACAATATTGCATCCAGTTTTTTACATTAACAATAAATAAAGTTCTACATAGATTAAAGTTATCTCAACAACATATTAGTATGTCGGTAGCAAAGCCAAAATTAAAGTGTTTGAAGGTGTTAGAAAAGTAGATACTACTAGCATATTTACTGGCGTAAGCGATAGCAAAATTTTCGAGATGTACAGAGTGTGAAAGAACGAACAAGAATGTTTTAAGTAGAGTTTGCAAGGAAGAGAGAAACAAAACAGCACATAACAAAAATAAATACAGAATGAAGAGCGAGAAAACGTTGTACCTATAAATGATGTGAGTTGGAAAGACGAGATCCATTGGTTCTACTGACTATTTAATAAGTTAAAGGTTTCACGCCTGATGCATTCTTTATCGCACAGAACACGGGCTAGGTAGGGTATGGATGAGTTTTTGTACTTACTAGTGCGGGCATATAGTTTCCTATATAGGCTTCTTGTTTTCAAAAATGAACACCGATATGAAAAATTATATATATATATATATATATATACATATCGTATTCAATAAGTAAAGAATCTAATTGCTTGTGTGTTTACATTTGTCTTTTTTACCCCATGTGCCGCTTAGACAATATCCGCGTCTTTCGTAGCCGGATTTCCGTTTGCCTGTATGAATATTCTCTGGACGTTAGCAAGTTGGGGAACAACCTTGGTGGCATTCTTCTCCACAATAGTAGGTGGGGCATATATTCGGGTGAAACTGTTGGATCATTGGCTCACATTGTTATCAGTTGTCGTTTCTGAATTCATTGTGACATTAATCACCACCATTGTGTTATCTGCCTTGGGACATTTAGAAGTAAGCACTATTTTATGATTTCATTTGAAAATTATAGTTACACACGCATATATGTGTATATATTGTTTTCCACCCAACCTTTATTCTCATCATTGTCTGAAGTCGTCGTAAATGAGCACATTCTGTGAGCACATATGGAAAGGAAACGGAAGAAGAAGAAGAAGACGAAAAATCAAATATTAGCAAACTTCACAAGAGACTAACCATAATGTATACGACTTTATTTTGATAAATCACACAGTGCTGTTATACAGTAATATAAACTGATGACGTCCACGTTTCGAGCACAAACTATTGCCAGTCATAATCATATCAAGTTACTCACACAATTTTTTTTCCTTCGTTTATGTACATGTGTGGAATCGATTAGACATCTGAATAAAAATCAACCAATTTAGGATAATGTACATTCAGAAATAATAATAATAATATGAGTGCTATTCATCGAATACAATCAGATGGGAAATAAGACAAGTGTTTTCATAGTCAAAATAAATAAGTGACTTGTTAGAATGTTGTGATGTGCTTGAATTGAAATAGAATTTTGAGATTATTTATTATCCTCTTCTGATTTGACTGACTGGTGATAATAACATCTTCCATATCTCCGGTATTTGCATGGAGGAATTTCTGTTGCATGTGTTGGGTGTAGACTCAATACCACCCAAATAAAAATGATTGTGAAACTGGTAGCGATAACATAAATAAGAAAGAATATAAGTCATTTACTGTTATACCATATAAGAAGGGGACATCTGAGACCCTACGTAGGATTCTTAATCAAGCAGGAATTAGGGTGGCATTCAAACCTACAAACTCACTCAGAAACAAGCTCTGTAGGCTAAAAGACCCGGTGGACCCACTTAAACAAAATAATACCATTTGCAAAATGCCCTGCAATGACTGTGAGGTCAACTACATAGGTGAAACTAGTAGATCGAGGGTAATCAGATTGTTGGAACATAAGAATTTAGCTAAGGGAAGAATGGTTGACCCCGAGAAGATAAGTAATTTAGGAAAAAGCTCAGCACTACAGTGCACTGTATGCATTAACATACGACCACACAGTAGGGTGGAAGAGGGTTGAAATTCTCAAAAGTAATCTAGGTAGGTGGAGAGAGGGAGAGATTGATTACTGAATCCTGCCTGGTTCATTGAGTCTACACCCAAAACAACACATGCAACAGAAATGACCTAACGCAAATACCAGAGATATGGAAGATGTTATTATCACCAGTCAGTCAAATCAGAGAAGGATAATAAATAATCTCGAAATTCTATTTCAATTCAATTCACATACATCACAACATTCTAACAAGTTACTTATTTTGACTATAAAAACACTCGTCTTATTTGTCATCTGATTGTACTTGATTGATAACACTCATATTATTATTATTATTTCTGAATGTACATTATCATATATTGGTTGATTTTTATTCAAATGTCTAATCATCAATTCTACTCATGTATATAAATGAAGCGAGAAAGTTGTGTGAGTGAGTGAGTGACTTGATATGATTATGAGTGGCAATAGTTTGTGCTCGAAACGTGGACGTCATCAGTTAATATTACTGTATAGCAACACTGTGTGATTTATCAAAATAAAATCCTATCTATATCGGAGTTATACTCTACCACAGTGTTCAAGCCTAATACGTATATCAAGAATAACCATCCCAAGAACTTTGTTAACAAAATCAACGAAAACACTATAAGCATAACCGATATCGTGTTCTGAAAACATGGACCTTCACAGCTGCTATTCGATATAGATTTGACAGGTCTAAAAAATATCAGAAGAGTACTTAATCAATGCGATACCGTACTTTTTTTTCTTCAAAACATCTGATACACTATAGGTCAATCCTGCTCCCTTTAGAAGATTGAATTCCAAAGAACTTGCAATCTCTTTTTATAAAATAGACTGCTTAGAATATGATGTGTAATGCATACACATGCATCCCATGAGAAAGTAATGTCACAATAAATGAACACTGTACAGCATCTATTCGACCGCTTTGAAATACAATGGAACTGGCAAAGCTTACAAAATAGTCAGTCACAGTGTTACAACAGAAGGCAAGACACTGAAACCATGGTTTGTTTTTCATTGATCAAACCGCTGTTTATACACAGTATTCTGTTGCTAAAGCCGAAATCAACTGAGGGAATATTCGAGAATAATATTCCATTGGCACACATTATCTGTATGGCATCACCACAATAGGATAGCCGCAGAATCAGGCCACAAAAGTGACTTTAATAATTTTGAAATTATCCGGAAAAATTTCAGAAATCATAAAGAACATCTCGAATCATAAGCACTTCTTATCAAATCGAATCCAGCTGCGTGGAAAGAAATTATGGATTTAGATAGAATTTGATCCGGTTGTAACACCTACCACTCTCCATGAAGTGATAAAATCAACTTAAATATACATAAAGTAGTTTTGTTATGTAAGCTAATGATGTCTTTGTAATTTCATACACTGGTCATATGTAAGAGTGTGCACAATGTTTGTCATCTTCATCAACTCAGCAACTTGAGAAAGTAAAAATTACCTCGCAATGAAGAACTGTGACCGAGCAGCTGTATATCAGCTGAGATTTTGTCAATTCTGGGCTACGACTAATATCAATATTAAAGCTATTAGCTGCGTTAAATAGCGAAACGTCAGTACAAACACTGTCGTTTTGTTTTGAATTCCCTGAGCGATACACAAACCCCTACAATAGTGAGTATCATATACTGTATGCCTAAATTTCCTCAAACCGTTGAATATAAAACTACTTTTGACAAATATGATTATATCCTCCGTATGAATTTTCAATATACTCAGAGGAAATTTTCAACAAAATATATCTACAATATAATTTGATATGTGTCATAACCCAAGATAGAATTCGTTGTATCTACTTCATTTTATTCTGAGATCATAGGCCGCATTCATCTATGTCTAAATGAAGAATGGTGTTCTGAGTGAAACTTGAATCAATCAAACTAAGTTTCTGTCGTGACTATATTATCAGACAAGCACATTAATCAAAAAGTGAAAATGTTGCTCAGTAGGTGCCACTTATCATCTTACGAGACATTTATGTTTCAATATTGAAATAGTCGCAAAGATTTGTAGCTCAGGTGGGTGATTTGCAATTATTAGTGTTCTCTAAGCTGGAAGCTTCAGTTGTGGAGCTTTCGTCATCCCCCTGCTGGACAACATCTACAGCGCAATATTTAGCATAAAGAGAAATGATTTTTATTTCTTCACGAGTGGTGATATAATTGCGTCTCTCAGTAACCATCTTCACATATATATTGACCATTTTCTACTGACTTGGATTTTAAACTTTCTGGTCACATGATTCACTTTATATTAAATGGTATACTTGCTCTATATTAACGTGTTTGTTAATTGCATATTCGTCTGAGTACTTTTGGTCTTGCCTCTGTCCAAGATTTCGACATTATCCCAGTTATCAAACTGATGTCCATAATTGTCAATATGCATTGATATGAAAGAATATATATCATGTCTTTTCACAGCTGATTTGTGTTCCTGGATTCGAATTCGAAGGGGATGCCCACTTCGGCCGATGTAATGACTGTTACAGTTCATACAATTTATTTTGTAAATGGTATTAATTTTATCTCTTTTTTCTGTTGGTTGGGTCTTTCGGTTTGCATAATATCGAATTAAGCGATTTGACTGGCTTGTGTGCTATATGTATATCAGACGGTTTCAGTATTCTAGCTGTCATTTCAGAGATATTTCTCATGTATGGTAGAATGAATTTTTTCGTCGTCTTTGATGATGGTTTCTCGTTGGTGTTGTGATCCGATTTTAAACACTCTTCAATGAAATTTCGTGGATATCCATTCTTTTTGAAGACCGTTTGTAGGTATTTTTCTTCCATTCTTTTCGACTCTGGAGTGTTACAATGTGTTTGAACTCTTTTAAACAATGTCTGTACACAGTTTCTTTTGTGAGTGAGTAATTGGATTATTGCTGGTATAGTTGAGTATTTGATCTGTGTGTATTGATTTTCTATATACTTCTGTTTCAAATTTCCTGTGTTGGTTCTCCTGATTGAGGCAACTAAAAATGGGATTTTGTTATCTAATTCTTCTTCTCTTGTGGTGAATTTGATGTCTTCAAATATGTTGTTTATTAGTTTATGGGTATATTCTAAATCATTTCTCTTAATTATTACAAATGTATCATCAACGTAACGTACCCAGATTTTCGGTTTAATTATAGGTAGAGCTATTAATTCTAATCTTTGTATGACGACTTCAACTAATAATCCTGGTATGCAAACTGAAAGATCCAACAGAAAAAGGAGACAAAATTAATACCATTTACAAAATAAACTGTATGAACTGTAACAGGCATTACATCGGCCAAAGTGGGCTCCCCCTTCGAATTAGAATCCAAGAACACAAATTAACCGTAAAAAGACATGATGTATATTCCTGTTTCATATCAATGCATATAGACAATTATGGACATCAGTTTGATAACTGGGATAATGTCGAAATCTTAGACATAGGAAACACCAAAACTCTAGCCAGGGAATTCCTAGAAGCCTGGTACTCAAACGAATATGCAATCAACAAACACGTTAATATAGAGCAAATATGCCAACTAATAAAAAGCAAATTATGGGACCAGAAAGTTTAAAATCCAAGTCAGTAGAAAATGATCAATACTTATGTAAAGATGGTTACCGGAAGACGCAATTATATCACCACTCGTGAAGAAATAAAAATCATTTCTCTTTATGCTAAATATTGCGCTGTAGATGTTGTTCAGAAAGGTGGATGAGGAAGGCTCCGCAACTAACCCAACCAGCTCGGAGAACACTATTAATTGCAAATGTTTAAATCTGCTTTTCAGTTCTGGTGGAAAATTATCCATCACTTTGTATATCTTTTCTCAATCAGTCGGTATGTAGCGTCACGTAGTTATCGATCTCTGTTGACCATTATTTCATAAAACAGGTACTTAGCAAGTGTCTTTCATTTTGAGAGTCTCGTCAAATAGTGTTTCATGAATTGTCCTCCAGATATTCCTCATCAACGCATTCATTTTTATTCGTTTCAGATAGCAATGATTATTTTTGGTGGAGGCATGGCTGTTCTAATAATTATTGTAAGTTGTTGTTCAAGTCTTTCTCTCTCTCATTTTATGATTAATATATATACAGAATGTGAAAATAAATAAATGCAATAAGTGTTTGTGATAATTCAATTGACACAGCATACTTTGATGTTGGATGATTAGAGGAAATCAGTAGGAAGCCCTCCATTCAGGATTTGTGCTTGCTGACACTCATTAGTCAGCAAAGTGCATTCCGAACCTTGAAGGAACTCATATCCCTTTTGAGACTGAAAACAGCTCAATGGTAACGTTTCTGACTGCAGCACTGGTTGACGCGGCTGACGATTGCCAACTGGCATGAAACCTAGGTCCAAGGCTTCCTGCAGACTGCCTCAAACCATTTAAATATCAATAATTAAAAGTGGACCATGATGGCAAGCCACCTAGAATGGTGGCTACATTGCAAACCTTAGCGATAGAATTCAATCTGCACCGAAGATAGAACTAGAAACATTACAGTCTTACAGGACGTCAGTTGCTAGCCCTAATATCTCAGTGGTAACGTCTCTGACTTCAATAGTGGGTGACAAGGACTGGGGTCTCAGAAGGGACATGAGTTCCTTCAAAGTTGCAGATATTCCTTGCTGACTGGAAAGTGCCAACTTGTAAGGAACCTAATTGGCGGGCTTCCTGTCAGTCGCCTCCAATCATCTAATGTCGTACAGATAAAATGATGAGAGACATCTCATTTATCAATTTATGACTCACATAGATATTGAGTAACATTTTATATATAGACTCATTTTCAGGTTACCAAGTTCACACAGAAATAACACTTCTGTGGATGTGTTGATTTAAAATCTTTAATGTGATCCACTCTTTCGCTTAGCTAAAATATACAATTCGCAGATGGATGTAGACACTAAGTGGCATCATGAAAACTAAATGAAATTGTGAACAGTTGACGAGTGAGTTTCAGCGCTTATCAAAGTGGCAAAAGTCTTTTTTCGAATAAATAAATCCAGTTTTACTCTTCTGATGTCGGCAGCTTCAAGAATTCGAAGTAATCCTAAGATGCTTTGTCTCTTAATGCTGGTGTCGTGTCGTGTATCAGCTTGTTACCAACTATCATGCTGTTAAATGCAAATGAACTTGTAAGTGGTGTAAACCTAAGAATATGTATAACAGTCTTAAGAAAGAGCCATCTCTCTGTTATTCTCGTGTACTTGCTATCACATGTATACATGAATTCATAAACTCATTTTGAGGTACCGAGAATCCGAAGTTGGTCCACTTCGAACTCCGGAACCGTGTAACTATATCAAATTAGGATAATCTCAAATACTGTCTTTGTGGGAAATTATTCTCGGTGTACATGGAATTACATGTTGTAAATTTGGAAACATGGATGAATTCATTCTCCTTTATAGTAATCGACAATTCACTTTAGGGGATATGATATGTGACCGTTGAAAGTGGAAGTGACCATCTGTCTTTAACCGCAGATGTATTCGTTCTGTCTGCCGTGTTAAGCTACTTAATATGGTGAACAATAGTGAGGTTGCGTGTAGACTCCTAGGTAAGGGAGGTAAGTTAATGATTAATGTTGAGATGTTACATTGACTGGGATGGCTACAGCATTCTGAGTCACTGCCTTCCTCAAAGAGCAAGATAAGCTGACAATGAATCTAACTGAATAAAAGTTAAAGTTAGTCAGACCACAACCTGATATCAGTCCACAAAGTCTTTGACGACTGGTTTTAGCCACAGGGGGGTGTAATGCAGATTACCTGGCTGAGGTTTTCAAGATGCTCAGAACCGATGGCTAGATAGCATTTTTAATATAACCCAAGACTATTGTCTCTGGCACAAATACGTTCACTCTTTGTGACAATTCTTTGCTTCTTTGTGTTACTTTTCTTTCATCAGTACATCTGCACTAATTATAGTTCTTTTGGACCTCTTCTTTATTTTTCCCACCTCTGTGTGCTTCAAGAAGTGTGGGAACTTGGACTGCTACACTTCTGTAAGAATATTTATGCTGAAACTCAGATAGTGCAAAAAATACATCGAGGATAGTCAATATTACAACTTCAATCTGCAGTTCAAAGAAAGCCATACACAGGTATTTACAAATAATACACTGACTGACGTCACTGTATAGATGTCTTGTTTTCAAATTGTCCCTTTTAATGGCCAATATATATTGAGAATAATTTCGTTTCAGATATAAGGCCTGTCACAATGACCGAATAAGGCGAAATGCAAAAATGGATATTAGAAACTAATTGATGGATGGTGATTAGTGCAGTTGAATTCAGAATGCGCATTTCGTCCCATTTGAGACTCATCAGCTAGAAACGTTTTTGTTTAAAAGTTGATTCAGATAAAAGAAACTTTCATAAATAAAACTCAGAAAATCACACGGGTTGTCATCCAACTGATCGCTTTAGATGCACGAACGAATAAAATGAACCGAAACAAGTTATGCAGAAGTTACTCTGAATTAACTACAAACAAAACTGGTGCCAGGATATTTAACTATAGAGAAAATATACATTCAGACATCTAGAAAAAACAAAAAAATTGAGCAAAGAATATTATTTTTTGATAATTTCCTCTTCTCGCTCTACAATTATATATATATATATGTTTATATACATAGAATATTCTAGAATAGTCGTCTTTACCAATATTGGTGGTTTTAAATATTATTGATTAGTTAAATAAGATCAATGGAACTACAGTTCACTTCTTTTTACATTTGTTTACGTTCCCAGTAGGACATAGGGCTTCAAGTTAGAGGCTTGAAGTTTCGGTAGCATTGGTATTTATCTTTACCGGGTGGGGTTGCAAGCCTCAAACTTTCACTTTTTTTACCAGTGATTAATGCGCAGTGAGGTAAAGGAGTGCGTCGATGGCCGGGAATCGAACCCGAACCACCTGCACGGTTGGTGAGAATTCTACCACTGTGCCACCGATGCACTGTTTACACAGTTCTTTGAAGATGCATAAATTATAATAGGCATAAAAATGTAGTAGCATAGAATATTAAAAATCAATCTAAGGAAATTTCAGCAACCAACTGAGATCATTATAACCATGATGGTCAAGGAAAGTGTCTGAAGCAAATAAATTATTTTGGATACATAAGTTTGGTTTCTCAATGTTGGCTTCAGCAGCCTCGGTAATATTTAGTAGATGAATTCTTAAGGTAAAGTTAAGATTAGTTTATATGCGGTTAATAACTTTTAAAGACGCCTCGTTCACGTTAATCGTGTGTTCTGTATCCACAAGATGAGGTAGAATGCTCTAAGAATGGATTTTGTTTGTCCTTTACTTAACCCTTTGCAGTATGATGTTCAGAATGCGACAATAAACACGCCTGATTGTATGGCCGATGGAACTGGCTCACTCCACAGGAATAATTAAATTAGTAGATACATCCGCATATAAGAGACGAAATTAGACAGTTTGTCTTTTACTCTCGAACCCAAAATAGGGGTTATTTTAAAGGCATAGCATAATTCAGCAGCAGTGAATGCTCCTTTTACCGCATTCCTAAGGCGTTGTGTTAACAATCCGCTGATGTTATCCCCAAGGAATTGGATTTGTAAGAATAAGGCTTTTTTCGGAACTGTTAGTATCTTGAGCTGCCTTGATTTTTTATTCAAATTCTTATGAGTTTGTAATTTTCTAGGTAACGGTTCTTACTCAGCAACTGTTTAATCCTATTGAACTCTTCCATAAGACATTCATCAGATCACATTGCTCCCGTTCTATAGACCAAGCACATTAACATATTGCGTTTGTATTTCAAAGGCACGAAGCGAAAAAAATGAGTATACTGACAGTCAGTTGATGTAGGTTTTCTATATACACTTCCTCTTATTATTGAGCCATCCTCTTTTCTGGTCATCTGAACGTCTTTTTTCCTTTCTCACTGGTAAAATTTATTCCAGGATGAACATCGTTAATTTTTTTCCAGAGTGTTCTTTGCTTCATCCTCATTATTTATAACCAAAAATGTATTATGCATGTGCCAACAATAGAATTCTATTTCATGTTGAAATTCAAAACAAGCAATAAAGGTTAATAAAGCAGGATTTAATGAATTCATCAAATTTCCGTAGGACTTGTCAGCTGAAAACTCTACACACATGGATATATATACTTTTGAAATTAAAATGGTAGATATAAGACTGATAAGCAGATCAACTACATTGAATTAGTCATGCAGAAAGGCCGGTGCGAATGTTTTCCAGTTCAAGTTCAAATAGATAAGGGGAGAGAGAGTATGAGAGATCACAAATATGATAAATTGCATTACGCTTCAATTACATCACTTAGATAAACAGTTAGTCATTGGAGAATATAACAAGGATTGCAAACAGAGTAATATCGATAGTAATGGTTATAATTACAAAAATAATAATAGTGTTGAAGTGAGTGCAGATAATCCTACTGATAAAGGATTGTTTAGGATGAATCAAGAATAATAATAGGGAGAATAATAAGCAAAACGTATTACCATGGTAGATTCAGAGTCACGACCATCTTGTTTTTGTACACAGAGACCTGGCTTATAAACTCGAATTGAACAATGTAATTTCAAAAGTATATATATCCATGTATGTAGAGTATTCAGCTGACGAGTTCTACCGAAATTTGATGAATTCATTAAATCCTGCTTAATTAAACTTTATTATGAATATTTATTATTGTTCCCATGGGTTCCTACTGGAACATAGGGCTTCAACTGCACGTCTCCACTTACTTCTGTCTTCTGCTGTACTTTTCACTTGCATCCATGTTACTCCATACTGTTTCAACTCCTCTTCACACGATCTACTCCATGTTACCCTTGAACTGACGTCCCACTCGCCGCTTCCCTTTCGGCCTGGTTCCACTCGAGAAATGGCCTGACGCGCGCCCGATGTCACCCAGCAGCCTCCTCACTCAGCGAGTGTCCAATCCATCTTTTCACCTTTCCCTGCATATTAGTTGGATGGCGACTGGTTCTTGTTTTGTTTCTTCCCAGCCATAGTTTCTTGTTGGTGATTCTTTCCAGCCCGGCCATCTGATCTTCAGTATAGAGCCAGCAAAGACAGTTGTTGGTTGATAAAGATCTGCAACAGGCTGTTGGAAATATTCTTTGTCACCCGCCCGCCCGCCAAGTTTCTGATCCGTATAGAAGAGCTGACTGACTTGACGTTGTTTGTATTGAAAATCCAACCGAATTTTGTTGTTGTTGATGGTGGCTGAGTGATGAAGATTTCTAGATTGGTTTCATGTTGATGAGTGTGTTTCTCGCCTTCCCGATTCTCGCTCGCTTTGACATCCTCGTCCGTTCTGACTGTCTGTATTTGAGACAATGCTCCCTAGATGAGTGAATGAATGAAGTAACCTCTTTCAAATCCCTCCCGTTGATGGTGATTGGCTTGTATTAAATTCGTTTAGGGAAATAAATGTTTTCATCTTTCAATGTTGTCGACTTCAGATGATAATCGTATTGAGATAGAATCTCTTGACGATACAAATTAAACAACAAAAAATTTATTAAATCTAAATTAAAATTTCGAAGATATATGCACATATATACATTTAATTGTCTACTTTGTCACGCTTTTAAAATTTCTTCTTCTTTAGCTGGCTCTCATTTCTGGTCAGATAACATTTAATCAACATGGACAACGTACAGTATCTCCTGACTACTGTCTGGCATCAATTATCCTACACGCTGTTTCACTTTTACTATTTATTATCAGTTCATTAGAATTTTATTTCACTCTGCCAAACACCCCTAAAAGGTGTCATTTACTATCGAAGATTTTCTGAATTTCTCAACATTAGATTTGTATACTATTCAGTTGGTACATTACATTTAGGCAAGTTGTTTTTTAAACTCTTAGTTTCTGTGAACAATTCGACAGTAATAATGATAATAATGATAATTCATTTTTTCTATGTCCTGATATTTGTGTTTGAAAACATATCGAAGAGGAAATACAATGACTAAATGTGACATCTATGTTAAAACTTTCAGATTTGTGTTATCTAAACTTTTAACAATACTATAAGTGGCGCTTTAACTTCAATATGAGTGTAATAGGTATTACTTAGAGAAATGTATTTGCATATAATGAATGATATATAAAGCATAAATAATGACCAGTAAAGTTATTTATAACTTCAACTGAAATATCTGATAGTGAAATGGTGAAATAGCGAATAGTGAATGGAACACATTCTTAGTATTGTTCTCTTGACTTCCAATGGATAGATTTTCGTCTCACCTTGTTATCTGTAGGCACGGTACCCAAGGATTGGAAGAAAGGATACTTATTCAAACTACCAAAGAAAGGAGACTTAAGCCAATGCAAAAAACTGGCGCGGAATTACACTCCTATCCATCCCAAGCAAAATACTAAGCCGCATCATCCTGGAGAGAATCAAACACGTCACCCTGGATGAAAAACTTCAACCGAAACAGGCTGGATTCAGGAAAAACAAGTCATGTATTGATTGAATCGTCACACTACGGATCATCATTGAACAAAGCTTGGAATTGCAGTCACCTATCTATCTCAACTTCATCCACTTTGAAACGGATTTCGACAGCGTTGATCAAGAGGTGATTAAAAAACTATTATCCTACTACGGGGTCCCACCGACAATTATACATCTGAATAAAGCGAGAACAACAGTGATTTGTGCAGAATAACATGGTACCATCATTTATTTCGTTGGCTTCTCATCATCTGCTTACAGCCTAAATAAATTTTGAGGTTTAAGTACAGAAACGTTTTAACATACTTGCAAATTGTACATGTTGTCAGTTGACAGAAAGTTCCACAATTAGTATACAGTGCTCAGAAAATTGCGCTTATAAAGTTTTTACACAAGCAGTTCAAGTTAAAACAAAATAAATGTATGCATATAATGGCAAGGGAGTTGCATAATAAAGATGAGATGTGCGTTAGATGCATAGTGACTAATAAGTTAGGTAACAATGTGCTGAGCTGAACTCGAATCATAGAAACAAGAGACAAGCAAAATTACAGATTATAAAAGGAGGATGAGGTTAAAGACAAAGATTACGCAGTCAGATGAGAGAAAATAAAAAGACATCCAGTTACCAAGGCAAGGAAAGACTAATAACTGCTTCTTTCTGAACACATAGATCTGGTTTCAAGCGTTTGATAGAAATTGCTTCGGCAAACTTGAGGAGAATGGAGCTCCTTTATCTATTGAAGGAAGAATTTACGAATCTCGAAAAGGTGCTGAAAAACAACAGCTATCTTCAAAAATTCATTAACAAATATGGAAGATGTGAAGGCTCAAATACCAAACAAATCACAGTTGAAAAAAGTCTGTCTTCATTCAACTGGATTTTAACGGTGAAGACATTGCAGAAATGGTCAACAGATCACTGAGGATGTCACTAGCCAGAGCCTATACTGCAGCTAAGTTGGTTCCCGTCCATCGAACAACATGCTCTTTGGTACAGTCAAAGGTCAATAGATACCCTTCTCATGTTAACTCCAACTGTGTATACAAATTTACGTGTATCTGTGGGAGCAGTTACATTGGGAGCACAAAAAGAAGGGCACACATCCGACTTTCTGAACATGTGCTGAAAAGCCTACGTCTCAAGGGAACAAACTCTTATAACAGTGCTATTACCAGACATCTCCTCGACACGGGTCACGAGGTGGAAATCGAGAAATCCTTCAAAATTATCAATAGACAAAGGAGTTTCATTCTCTTCAAGTTTGCCGAAGCAATTTCTATCAAACGCTTGGAACCAGATCTATGTGTTCAGAAAGAAGCAGTTATTAGTCTTTCCTTGCCTTGGTAACTGGATGTCATTTTTCTCTCATCTAATTACGTAATCTTTGTCTTTAACATCATCCTCCTTTTATAATCTGTAATTTTGCTTGTCTCTTGTTTCTATGATTTGAGTTCAACTCAGCACATTGAAAAGTCTAGCAGAGAACCAAACGAAATGGAGGTGCGCGGCTGAAACCCTATGTTCTGCTAGGAATTAATAATAATAATACTTGTTATCTGCAGTCTTTTATATCTGGTGTCATACGCCCTCTTAACTGTTTGAAATCTCTCCGAAAGTGTATAGCAGAGAGACGGTAATCAGTGTGAATCAGAGCTGTCTCCCTATCGTCTCCGAAGTCAGCGGGACTCTTCATCATTCTGATTCTGGTATTATTTTATCTATGAAGATTCAAATAGCCATCAGTATCAACGTGAGATAGCACCCAGTATTCAAAACAATATCATCACATTTTGGATTATACTTTTATGTCTCAGAATAAAAGAGTATGTGTTGAGGTCTCAAGTTTATATCGGCGTATTTATAACTGAATTTCAGGTGAAATGAACTTCTCTCATAACCAATTTGAAATAAATAGATGTCAGTGAGGAACAGGTTTGGTATTATATTTTAACCTAAACCTAAGTATGTGTGGCATAACAGAAAACAGAGACAAATTCTGGAGTTTATAGATGTTCAGCGATAGGTCTATAATTAACTTATACGACTCTAATATTAAATACATCATTGACAATGCCTATATTGCCCTTTAACTACACTGTCAACCATTCACATATGCGTTTACTCATATATTTGTGAATTACAATCAGTTATCAGTGCACAGGGTTACAAATGTAACAATAATAATCACGTCTTGTGTTGTTGAAGCCCATGTGAATGTAATCCAATGCATGCAGTAGGGAACCATAATTGCCTTAGGTTCATATTATTATTCAACTGTTTTCACGCTTCATCGATTAGTTCAGCAATTACCAGCCCGATTCCTGCACTGAATATCCTTTTTAACGCATTCTGTGTTTAGCATCAGCATAGTGAGAACCATGAGCTTGTAAAATCATACATGATATTGCTAACATTTGTGAACACCATTCGGTATAAATTAAGAATTTTTATCGTTTATTATTCCTAAAATTTTATTTCAAAATTGAAAGTGTGTACACAACCTTACCGTAAATAATTCAAGTATGGTAAGATAAGAAGCGCCCTGAAAACAAAATGAAAATTTAAAATCATTTGAGGAAATCATACGCTCATATGGAAGTCAACAGTTACATTTCTAAAGGTTTACTTATATAAGAACCACTTCTCATTCCCCAGATGTTTATTCTAAGTGTCTAGAAATAAACGGTTATTATTATTATTATTATTGACTGCATAGAACATGATTTTTAAAGTTACATTACCTAATTTACCTTCTTATTCAAACCCTTTTCGAAGTAGCCTTTCAAACTGTAAAAGCAAGGATTGGTGGTTTTGTTCATTACAACTTTCAGTCACAATGCTGGACTTATTCACAGCCTCATATGGGGGAAATTCAGAATTAACAAGACTTTGACTTTCAGAAAACAGAGGCGAGCTACATCTCATACGTTCCTGCAGTCTAAGTACCAAGCCGAAATTCATAGTGTCTAATCAGCAGCACATTTATGCAGAAATATGTAGTAATGCGATGATTACATCAAAATTTAGCGTAGGAATTGCTACACATTTGAAAATCGTATTGATAAAAACACCCAGAAGGTAACCGAACGTTAAGCACCAGAATATCTCCGCACTACTGGATATGAATAGTCGGATGAAATAATCGTTGTGATCACAGCAAGTTACACTTGCTCGAAATAAGGCTGAGCTAATTGCTTTGCTACAGAACCCGCAAAAGTTAACGGACGACTTCATACGACCAATGCAGGAATATAAAGGAAATGCACGGGATCCTATCAAGAGTCCATAGTAATCAACGTCGTCAGTTATATGATTTACAACACGGATATAGTAGAGAATAGGTTCACTACTGTAACACTTCTAATAATGCAGCAAAATGTTACTAAGATATTTTTGACTGCCATTTAAAAATACTAGCGGTAGCATTTCAAGATTGTCTTTTGAATTTCAAGTACAGGGGTTATGGTGGAGTGTTTCTGAGTACGACATCACTCAAACATAGTGGAAACATTCTACATTTTGTAGCTATGCATTGACCCACCTCAGTGAATGACTAACACTTCATCTGAAAGCCAGACTGAATGCGGACCCTAATTAGTTGTAGGTCGCCACATATGTCCGTAAGCGCCCTGACATCCATTCTGTTTTCTCAGTAGGCTACAAAACCCTGTCAAAGGGATATTAATGTCTTATTATCTAAATACATTAGATGTATGCAATCCAAAATGAGTGACTTGATCATTTCAAGTTGCGATTCCTCAGGTAGGTCCGTCTACAATCACAACATGCTTGAACAACTACCATGGAATCCGATATTATTTTCTAGTACATGGTTTTCGTTAGCTGACATCATCTTATCAACCACACGACTACGAGCGATGACTAGAAAACTACCACAACCTACTTCCCGTTGTCACCTAGACTTTGTTTAAAATCCACAGGAGCTGATGATTTGCAAATGAATTCCACTACACTGATGGTAACAGTCGTGCACAACTTGATGCTGTATTAGCCAATAGTATGACTGTCTCATGAATAAAAGTTCACTTGAAACAAAACTGAAGCCGTTTGGATTTCCTTAATGCAATATGTATACCGACTAATCACAGTCAATCACATGGGGCTCCATTAAACGATCTATAAATGGTGACAAATGATGCCCAGAACTATTCGATACTGAAAAGTAAAGGGCAGGAACTGTTTAGAAAATATGTTTCACTGGGAGGGATAAAGGACAAGTTCTGACGACAGTCATTAAAAGAAATCAGTATGTGAATTTTAAGGGGGTAATCCATGTGGACACAATCTTTTCATCACCTCATGATTATCCTGCTTCCACCCAAAGCATTCCTCGGAAGGTGTAGTAGTAACAGTTGCTAGTGAAGAGTCCCAAAGCCGACAGGCTGAGAGCGAGAAGATGTGGGAACGCACTAGATTCTTCGTTCTGCGATACGGTGGCACAGTGGTTAGGACTCTCGCCAACCATGCACAAGGTCCGGGG